CCACGTTTCCATTTCATGATACGCTCGTTAGAGCGATCTGCCACATAAATAGTTTGATTCTCATCAACAAATAATCCAAATGGTCTATCGAACTGATTTAATTCTGATCCGCTACCATTACCACCAGCTACAGTTTGACCATTTTGAGCCCATGTTGCAGTTGCACAAATACCCTTATCAGGTGTCACTGATGAAGATACAGCTAGGAAAATGGAGAGGACAAAAGGTATCAATCAATTGAATACAACAGATTTTTTTTCTTGTTGATTAAATTAGGACGCATACATATGTCATCTCATCAAATTTACCTCAAAGATTAAACAATGGAAACTGTTGAGTAGTGGAAAAGTGAGATGATCAAAACTGACGAGACAATTTCTTCAGGTATAAAATCATTTTTCACCCAAGACTATTGCCATTAGATAGATTCCAGTGAGTAGTATAAAAGTAAATCTTGGTTACGATTCCTAGGTTCCATGGTCTGAGATGTTGCATTTTCAGCCAATTTTTTAGCAGATTTTGGAATTAGAATACGTTACATTTACTTCTGATCTGAGGTCTGAGATATCAGTTTTCGAAAAAATTGGTTCTCTTGTTAAGTTAATTCATACCTCTGCATCGACGGTTAAAAAAAAATTCTGAAACCTTAGATTTTGACTACTGCAATTGAAAACTATTCACTGTTCAATTTTCAGGTCTCACGTTCGAAGCAAGTGTAACGCACTGTAATCCTGGAATATGCTGAAAAATTGACTAAAACTGCAATATTTGAGTCCATGAGATCGATGAATCAAAACCAAGATACACCTTTATACTACTCACTGAGACCGATCTAATAGTAAAATAGTCTCGGATGAAAAGCGATTTTACATCGGAAGAGGTTGTCTTATGAGATGAATACTAAGAATAGTCTTTAATCTGAAAGAGTACTCGACGTGATAAGCAGAAAAGTCATCAGTTCTTGTATTCAACAAAAATCTTCATAGAAAGCAAAAAAAAAGGAGGAATGTGCTTTTAGCTGAAAACTCTTGCATCAACAAAAATTCTTCAAAATATTTTGGAAAATAGTAAAATTCTCGGTAAAATACTGATCTATCACTTCAAATTATCATTTATCAAAAAGATTTCCCTATACAGAAGAGAAATACTCATTATTTTCAAGTCTGAAAACTTTTGATTAACAGAGAGTATTCCATTGACAAGAAAAAAAATTGATAGTCAGTTTTGCCGTTAGATGCAAAGCTTCTTCTTTTCTATTAGTTGAATTACTTCAATTTTGACTACTTTCTAGAGTTCTTCGTCTCGTTCTATATCTAATGAAGTCTTCATCTGAATCAACGAAATAGAATTTTACTCTTGATAGTATAAATTCAAATAGCGATCACATAAAATAATGTTGTTTTTATCTTTTCTTCACTTTAATAGAGATTTGGTTGATAAAAAAAAGTTGATAGTAAAGACAAATGACTCTGAACTTGTGTAGTCTCATTTCAATGACATTTTTTTATTTTTTTTTTGAATCTTCTTGTTCTAGAAAGACTAAAAAACTTACTTGTTGTTGTGATTGGTATGGTCATGATCGGTGCAGTGCTTGAGATTGTTGTCATTGTCGTATTCGTTGCTATTCGTCAAAAGAAAATAATATTTAATTAAAAAAACTTTGCAGCAGATACATTTAATTCTGACATTCAATGAATTAGACGTATCCAATGATTTTATATATGAAATGTTAAGAAGAGTAATTATAACAACAATATTTTCTTTACATCTTCTATTTTTTTGCCGGACAGAAGTGTAACACAGACTGTATTTAATAATATACATCTGCCATTAGCTCAGAAATTGAATTTTGAGTATACCAGTATATTTGAAGATATGCTTTCTACATTCTGTACTTCAAAATTAAAAAAATTAAAATGACATGTTTCAATGTCATTCTTCGATTCATTTTCTCTGATGTATGACTAGATGGCGTGAAAGGCCCCAAATGATGATAGATTTTAATAAGTTGAAAGTTATTGCGGAGTGTAGGTGTTGGTCTTTTTTTATTTAAGTCTACACCCACACCTGCACTCTCTATAGATCACTGTTTGTTCTCTTACTTGTTATCGGTGGGCAAAGTTTTTGATTGAAACTTGGTATTGGATAACAAACAGGAAGATTATGACATCGAGGATGATGAACACATCTATGGTTAGATTCATCACAAACGTTGCTTGAGAGTTCGCATGAAACTAGCTCAGAACAATCCACAAACTCATCACCACAAATGCCAACACCAAGAGCACCTGCTATATAGAAACAGGTACATGCACTATTTGGCGAACATCGATCATATTGAGATATTCCATGACAGAATTGAGATTTCACTCGAACTACTGACATACTAAATTAATAGCAGAATATGTAAAACGAAACAAGAATCAAACCTGTAAAGCTGAAAAGGAAGATTGTTTAACATTAGATGAATAGTAAAAAAAATTAGATTTTAGAATTACCTGAATAGAACGAATATGAAACAACGAATTGCTGTTGAAACCATCGCTCGCGTTAAAATGAGACAGAATAGCGGTGGAATCCATATTTATATCTAATGGATAGATAATGTTTTTCGCATTTACTGAAAATGAAGAAACGCACGGCCTGATCTTTCGATAAATAGAAATTCGATATTGCGCTATGCCCTTATCGAAGCACTTAATTTTTCTTCAAAAAAGAAAGTAATCTTTATAGAAGTAAAAAACGTCTTCAAATCAACACAGGATTGCTTCTGTAGTACAATCATCCAATAGGCTCGTGCTATCATTCGAAATAACGAGTACTGTTATTATCAATCATTGAATCACTATCTAACGACGATTTAGAACAACTTCAAGGACAAATTTTGTTTTTTAATATTAGTATTTTTATTACAAGCAGCTTACAGAAGTTGGTATCTTCATCAAATCAAAGTCACGATCTATAGTCTGACATATTCACTTGTGCTTTTGACTGTGTCTTCGTTGCATCTCAAGAGTTCATTTGTGCAATTTTCATCTCCAAATCTGATTTTTGACATAAACATGTTCACTTTAAGAAAATACCTTCTATGAGAGTAGTGACGTGGCTGCAAGTGCAGCAAAGACTGAGATTGTTGGCAAGCAAACAAGTTATTTTTTCTGACATCTTGCCTTCTTCCTGTGAAGAATTTTTAGTCACAGCGCTATTCAAAAACAATCTTCTCAACAAAATGATTATGCTCAATCGATTCAGTCACGTTCGACTTTAGATCGCCAAGTCATTTATTAACTCCCATGTGAATGATGTTCCATTTTTTTCTCAACATCCTTCTCTCAGATCAGAGACTTGAGTACAAAAATAATTTAGTGTTTTAGAGCATTCTTTTGCAACTGTCTAGTGTCCACTAGGTGAATCTGGCGAACATATCGTACTATCACACAAATGAACTTCAGCTCCATATGCTCTCATTAATTGTGTATGTTTTTCATCAATACTTTTTGGTGCAGTAATTCTTATTCGTGGATCCATAAGTACAGCTACAACTGCTATTTCTTGAGTAAAGTTTCTTCCTGAAGTAGTTACTATTATTTCTTCTTCTGTTATCTGACATCACATTTCTACATAGATTTCAACATAAGAAATGCTTGTCTATCATTAACAGAACATGTTAGATTCATTTCTTCTAATTTTGATATAAACTTCATGATTGGGATGTAATATTTCAATTGGAGTAATAGAATTTCACTGACTAATCCATATGCTGAATTTAAAAATACGTGACTCATAAAAGCCTAGTAATAGCATTAACAAACTCGATACGTTTGTGCTAGATCAATTTAATTTATTTGAAACAACAATAGTCATAAATACATATAATAAATAGAGAAATACAATATAGAATAGAATTGCATTCAGACACATTGTAATTCATAGACTTTTGTCATCACGAAGGTAAAGAAGAATGTGATAATACTTTACTACAAACATCTATACATATTGAAAAGGTGACTCAACAAATAAATATTTGAATATCTAAATACTTAATACTGACATCAATAAGAGAATTAGAATTGCAATGACTATTCCATTAACAATGTACAAAAGCAATGTTGTAAAAAAAAACGATAAAATTCTTGAAATTAGTAATTAGTTTTTCAATTTGAGTTAAAGATGATAAACATGATTTTACCTAGTGTCCGTTTTTCTCTAAAATAATACCTAAACATCATTTTAAGTGCATGCATATCATTGACTTTTGTTATTCTTCTTCACATTCAACTGTTATAAATGATTAAAACTCAAAGTCAAGTGTTAAGCAGAGATGAACATGGTACACCATTCATGATAGAGTAGCTTCTTATTTATTTTTATCCAACAAAACAGATATCAGTTTTTGACTCATTGTTCAATATATATATATATATATGATATTACATTGCTTTCAAATAACATAAATACTTCTTAGATACTAATTCATCCAACATCAATATACAGGAGATTTTTCTTAGCTATTTTGAATAAGGATACTTATCTTTTGAATCTATATTTAAATTTCCAATGATTATTTCCACTAATCGTAGATATA